CCCCCCCCCCCCCCCCCTCCTGGTTCGATTTGTCTCTGCCCACTCGCTATGCAACTCTTTGAATTCTAACTTCCATTTCTGTTGCTTTGATTTTGAGAATTGAAATAGAATATCAGGGGCTTAAGATTTTAGTCCCTTCCCTCATTTTTTTAGCTATTTATCTCTCTTGCTCTGAATTTTTTGTTTGGTTTCAACAATGATTTACAAGTTACAGATGGTGCTAATTCTTATGCTTTTTATATGATCTACTGATGATCTGCCTTTAATATGCACAAAGAAGATTCTTGATCTTGCTTTAACTTTTTGATCATGCTTTAACCTTTAATATGCACAATGGTTTTTTTCATCTTCTTTTGGATCTGTATCGAACTATATATTCCAAGTTCTAATATGAATCTTGAATGCGAGATAGGTAAAAGCATGGCTGCTCCTGCAAAACCTACAAGGATTGGCCTTGCTGGTCTGGCTGTTATGGGTCAAAACCTGGCTCTAAACATTGCAGAAAAAGGCTTCCCTATTTCAGTATATAACCGAACAAGCTCCAAAGTAGATGAAACAGTTGAACGAGCTAAAGCAGAAGGAGATCTTCCTCTCTATGGTTTCCATGATCCTGAATCCTTTGTTCAATCCATTCAAAAACCTCGTGTCATAATCATGCTTGTCAAGGCCGGGGCACCCGTTGATCAAACCATTAAAACCCTCTCTGTTTACTTGGAGAAAGGTGACTGTATAATTGATGGTGGTAATGAATGGTATGAGAACACTGAGAGAAGAGAGAAATCCATGGCTGAGTTAGGCCTGCTCTACCTTGGAATGGGAGTTTCAGGGGGTGAAGAAGGTGCTAGGAATGGTCCTTCCTTGATGCCTGGTGGATCTTTTGAGGCCTTCAAGCACATTGAGGACATTCTTATTAAGGTTGCAGCCCAAGTTCCCGATAGCGGTCCCTGTGTAACGTACATCGGCAAAGGCGGATCGGGTAACTTCGTCAAGATGATCCACAATGGCATAGAATATGGTGATATGCAGCTGATTGCAGAGGCATATGATGTTTTGAGAACTGTGGGGAAGTTGTCAAATGAAGAACTTCACCAAGTTTTCTCAGAATGGAACAAGGGCGAGCTGCTAAGTTTCTTGATTGAGATCACTGCAGACATTTTCAGTATCAAGGACGACAAAGCCGATGGCTACTTAGTCGACAAGGTTTTGGACAAGACGGGTATGAAGGGTACTGGTAAATGGACTGTCCAGCAAGCTGCTGACCTCTCAGTTGCAGCCCCTACCATTGCTTCTTCTCTTGATGCAAGGTTTCTAAGTGGTTTGAAAGAAGAGAGAGTAGAAGCAGCAAAAGTATTTGGATCAAGTCTTAGCAATGTCGAGGTCGATAAAGCGAAGTTGATCGACGACGTGAGACAAGCTCTTTATGCATCCAAAATATGCAGCTATGCTCAAGGCATGAATCTGATCCGTGCCAAGAGTATTGAGAAGGGATGGGATTTGAAGTTGGGGGAACTTGCTCGAATTTGGAAGGGAGGTTGTATTATCCGAGCCGTGTTTCTCGACCGAATCAAGAGGGCCTATGACCGAAATCCTGAGCTAGCTAATCTCCTTGTGGATCCAGAGTTCGCAAAGGAAATCGTCGAACGACAGTCAGCTTGGCGAAGAGTTGTATGTCTGGCCATCAACTCGGGTATCAGCACCCCAGGAATGTCGTCCAGTCTCGCTTACTTCGACAGCTACCGGAGGGAGAGATTGCCTGCAAACTTGGTCCAAGCTCAAAGAGACTACTTTGGTGCTCATACGTATGAAAGAACCGATACCGAAGGATCGTTCCATACCGAATGGTTCAAGATCGCAAAACAACTCAAGAATTGAACGTATTCGTTACCATAATCCCGCAAGTAAGAACACTTTTTATTTACAATAATCTCAGCTCTGAACTATTGTTGATCAGAGCTCATGTCATCTGTTTTAGTGCCAATTATCGTTTGAGTTTCTAGTTTGAATGTGATGTCTGATAAGGTAAGAGTTTCCATTTGAATTTTGTTTTCCTAAAAATGTTCATTCACGAAACGACCAAATTTAGATGTCACTCGAATGTTGAAATATTAATAACGGATCATATATGATGTTAAGACAAAGTGATACCGAAATTTTAATTTTGTGATATACTTGATTATAATTATAAGCTAATAAAGTAAGTCTCCTCATAATGGCCTCCATAATGCCTATGTCCCATGCCACATTCATATTCAAGTTTAGACTTTGGAGATTCTCTTTTCTTTAAATTCAATAATCTTATTAATCTATTATCTTTATTTTTATTCTTGTTGACCTATTAATAGCCATGTACTTGGCCTTTACAATTTAAATAATTTTACAAATTAGTGGGTGAAATCGTTGTACTTGAAAAATTGAAAGATATTGAAAAAACGAACGCATAAACAACTAAGTTGAGGCACGACATCTCACTCTCTTCAAGGCGATTCAAGTCTGTTCGGGGTATATTTATTTATCAACCACTTGTGCAACAGATCTTCTCTAGCATATTTCCCTCAAGATACAAGTAGTATATCGACTCTACCTCAAAGCTCTACAACAAAGTATTTATGAGATAGTGTTAGTGAGGGATGTATGTGTGAGATCCTACATCGGTTGGAGAGGAGAACGAAACATTCTTCGTAAGGATGTAGAAAGCTCTCTATAGTACACGAGTTTTAAAGCCTCGAGGGAAAGCTAAAAAATGACAATATCCGCTATCAATGGACTTGGGTTGTTACGCTATGAGATGGTAAACAAATGCTATTAATAAATTTTTTGAGGTGTTGCTACGAGCGTTATTGGTTAGCACATTATAGCCTTATTATTGGTTAGTACGTTATAGCCTTTATTAATTCTAATAGTTCATGAGTGTATTTGAGAATAAGTTTCACATCCTCATGGGCAGCGGCCCACCTTTCATACCTATATGGGTTGAAAGTGCTACAATAACGACATCTCATTCTTACGAGTTGCCGCATATTTCAAGAGTAGATATAAACGAATTACGCATAGTTTGAAATTAATTTTAAGAGTGTTACAAGTGATTAAGAAGAATCGTAATCGTTTTTCAAGCTCGGTAAGATCGATGGTGAATAAATTCATTTTAAATTACTTTTGAGAATATGTTTGACAAAATATGTTCCCAAGAGCTTTTAAAATTTTATCCTCTCTTACTACTTTTGTAAGTAATTCTCTTAGAATCATATGCTAATATTAAATATTCTATTAAATTTTTCGTTCGATATTATAGTAGATTTCTAATTCGATATTAATTTTGAAACCTTTATAAAAATCAAAACTAATATTTTTACTTTCGAAAAAGTATGTATATTTTTTTAACCACTCATTTATAATTTAACCAAATTTTCAAAGATTTATTTTTTAAAAATTACATAATAAATACTTTTAGAAATATAAACTAAGCTTATGTAAGAGATCAAGCTTCTCCTTCTTGTCTACTCCGCTTACCAAAAAAAAAAAAAAAATTCATTTACTTTTACGATATTTAAGTTCATTGATTCATCATCTCACACATAGAGATATTGATAATACTTAATGGTATTTCGATCTGCTAAAACAAAGCGATAACCAAAAGAAATTACTTAATAGCTTAGTAAAATTGATATGACTGTTATGGTTGGTCCGATACGGAATAAACTCGTATCACCTCTAGATGGAGGCAGATTTTCGAAAAAATGTACTCCTCCTTTCCAACTCCATTTAAGGTAGAAATTTATCCCAACTCTAGTAAACGAACTCAAGAAAGCTCAAGCATAATTTGGCAGAAAAATAACTCACGCAAAAATAGCTTTCTCATTAATTTTAATCAAGCACATGGAGATGAAAGAAACTCTAATCGGAAGCATCAAAACAAAAAAATTAAGCATTATTACTCCGTCATATCAAAATTGAAATAATGCGTTACTCGTTTCCGTCGATTTACTCGTTCCCGCTGCAATCAAAATTAGAAGAAAAGTCGAAATCGACCGGAAGCAAATCCAGAAATTGACCTTCAAAACCGC